TTGTAAGGGTTTAAAAAAATTTTAAAAAGGGGGGGGGGGGGGGCCCCCGCCCCCCCCCCCCCCCCCCCCACCCGCCTAAGTTAATTTAACTTTCAATGCCTGGTAGTTAGTTAGTTTTACTGTGTGTTTTTGACTACAGTAAGAGAGAAAGGGGTAACCGGGTGGTGTGTGCAATGACACAGATTAAACAGTGGGTGGCAGTGTCATTGATGGCCCGCCTGTAGGGTTTATTGAAACAAACCAAATCGTGCATACACGCGAGAATAGCTTCTTTTTTTAAGTTCTGGGAAAGTATATTTGAGTGACGGGGGTTGATTGGAATTAGTAATTAATTCCAATAATTAATTAAAATTAGGAGTTATTGTAAAGCTTATTTCTACCAGTTACTGTTTCAACTATAATTTACTATCCCCTCGCCAAATTTCATTTTCAGCAGTTCCCCTGCTTATGAATCTTCCAACTATTCAGGTTATTCAGGGATTAGGCATCAAATTATATAAGTCTTCGTGATGTTTTTTTTTTTTTTTTTTTGTTCAACACCCCCTGTCCCACCAGGCTTCTCATGATGAGCTAAACTCCAACTGCAACATCCCCCTAAATAAATAAATAAATAAAAACATGCAAGTTATCACCTGGATGCATCGTGACACTGACTAGATTAAAGAAATTCACTCCCGAATAAATATCGACCTAGTTGTGAATCGACTTTCGTTTAGGCCACTTTCCTTTGCGGGTCTAATGAGTCATGACATCATCCGAGCCCCGAGTCTTCCTCCCACGCTCCCCCAGCCCACTCCCCTTGCTTTATTTGAAGGCGCTCCTCGCTCCACCTCCCCAGTCAGCGCTGCTCTCTCCAGCCGCTGCAGAGGGACGAGAGACGAGAGCCTGATGGTACAACTGGCTCACTTTTTCTCCGGTCGTACCCTCACTACGGCAAAATGAATCCTGCGCTTATCGTGGTTTTTGCTCTCCTTGCAGGTAAGGGTGAATTGTTTTTTTTATTATTATTATTATTCACTATTTTTTTTTCTGTTTTTATTTGTTTTGCGTTTATTTTTTATTTTTTGCATCAGAACAGATAGTCGATAATGAGTTCAGCACCATGGACAGAGACAAGTCTCGCAGCTTCGCATTTGACTAAATCCTACTTTTTCATTCTTATGCAGAAACTGTCGCGCTCCCAGTTGGCAAAGAGGAGCAAAAAGATGTGGTATGCTTGAATAATAATATATATATATTTTTTTTTACTTTTTCAACTCATAACATGATCACGTCAGTATCTTGAACAGAATAAGATGATTTCTTTGACTTCTGCAGGTTGCACGATGTCTGGTCGAAGTCTTGACCAAAGCGCTGTCCAAGCCGGACGTTCATTTGGATCAGGAATGCAAAGATATTCTCCAAGCAGGTTTGTTGGAAAAATATAACTCAGTTGTTTTATATATATATGTGTGTGTGTGTGTGTGTGTGTGTGTATAACGCTAAATGCAAAAGATATTTTGCTTTTTTTTTTTGCCCTCAATCGGGTTAAATGAATGGAGTTGGAAACTTTAAGGAAGATTATTGTTTGAGGATTCTCCACAATTCAAACAGTGCGTCATGGAGATTCTAAGAAGAAGAAGTAGTTATGGTGTAAAACACCATCCCTTTGTGCAAAACTGCACAAAGGGACGTCTTATGACTTTCCTGTTCATAAAGCTCAGATTTAAGTAACTCAACTTTCTTTCCACTCTACAGATATTGATCTATTCCCAGATGTTACACTGTAGATTAAGTTTGCAAGACCCTCTTACATACTCTAAAGACTGAAATCAGCTAATCCAGTCAAAGTTCACAATTTTTTTTCCTTTGTTTTTCCTTCATAGGTGTCAAATATGCCCCAGTGAACAAAAAGACTACAGATGGGACTGCAACACAGGAGGAAATCTCTCGCGCGGGAGCCCCTACGGCAAAGACGGCAGACGTCAAAGACATTGAGGCACTGCTGAAATCTGTGGAGGAAAAGAAGGAAGCCCCCAAAGAGGAGCGGAACCAGGAATCGTGGAGTCTGATAGAGAAGCGGGATGGGGATCAGGAGGAAGAAATACGAGAGAAGCGGAGCAGCTGGAGGCCAGGGAGATTCCACCAGAGGAAGAGCAAACGAGGAGAGGAAGATTACGACCGCAGTCAGGAGAGTTGGGGAGGCCTTGAAAGGAGGTCCGATGACAAAGAAGAAGAGGACGGAGAAAGTGAAGAACGAGAGAAGAGGAACTGGAGGCCCGGAAGGCACTACCAAAGGAAAAGTAAACGGGATGAGGAAGACGGGGGAGAGCCAGAGGAGGAACGCAGTCAAGAGTACTGGGATGCAGAAAAGAGGCTGGAGAACGAGGAAAAGGGGGAGAGAAACAAGCGCATATGGAAACCCACACATCACTATCATCACAAGATAAAGCTCCACAGGCGCAGTGATGAGCCATCCGAGGGTGAGGGATACGAAGACCGCAGCCAGGAATCATGGGACGTTGACAAGAGGAGCTGGAAGGATGGCAGATTCCACCAGAGGAGACACAAGCGCGATGAGGAGCTATCGGAAGAAGCGAGGGAAGAGCCTGAGGAGGAGCGAAGCCAGGAACATTGGGACATAGACACTGGGAGAGAAAAGAGGGAGTGGAGGGCGGGAAGGTATCACCAAAGGAGGCAGAAGAGAGATGAGGAGCTTTCCGAGGAAGCAAAGGAAGAACCCGATGAAGAACGAAGCCAGGAACATTGGGACATAGACACTGGGAGAGAAAAGAGGGAGTGGAGGGCGGGAAGGTATCACCAAAGGAGGCAGAAGAGAGATGAGGAGCTTTCCGAGGAAGCAAAGGAAGAACCCGATGAAGAACGAAGCCAGGAATATTGGGATTTTGACGCCGGAAGAGAAAAGAGGGACTGGAGGCCTGGCAGGCATTCCCAAAGGAGACACAAACGCGAAGACAGGCTTTCAGAGGATGCCAAGGAAGAGCCCGACGAAGACCGCAGCCAGGAATATTGGGATTTTGATACCGGGAGAGAGAAGAGGGACTGGAGACCTGGCAGGCATTCCCAAAGGAGACACAAACGTGACGAGGAGATTTCGGAAGAAGCCAGAGACGAGCCTGATGAAGAACGGAGCCAGGAATACTGGGACTTTGACACAGAACGAGCTAAGCGGAGCTGGAGGCCCGGCAGACACCACCAGAGGAAACACAAGCGCGCCGAAGAGCTCGGAGAGGACGACAGGGAAGAGCCGGAGGAAGAGCGCAGTCAGGAATACTGGGATTTTGACAAGAGAGACGATAACGAAGACGTAGATATAGAAAAGCGGATCTGGAAGCCCACACACCGGTACCACCACAAGAGGAGACTTCAGAAGCGAGGATCATCAGAGGAAGAGATGGAGCCGAGGGGCGACTCGGAAGAGAACGCAGAAGAGGAAAACGACAGAGATGAAGCCCTGAGGTATTCTTACCCAATTCTTTTGTTGCTTCCCTTATACGCAGGGGATTGTAGATTTCATATTTTGAGTTGTACGACACAAATGGACCAACATGAACCTGTTGGGATGAACTAACAGAATATTTGTGGCATCTAAACTGATCATTTGTAGGTACCTGGCTGAGAAACGCAATCCCTGGATTTACAGAGGCTATTACGACCCGGCCTGGTACAAGAGAGACTCAGACGAACATGCCGCATCATCCGCTAAGGTGAGCCTCTCGAACTATCATTTTAGTTTAACCTGTTTGCATTAAACTTTAATAAGACTTTATTTAAGCTTTCCAAAGTTTTAGAACATGCCTTTGATGCCCGTAAGTACTGCCATCCCAGAGTTCATTGCTAAGATGTCTAATTGTTCCGTTTTATTGTTTCAGATGGATGAACTGAGCCAGCTGCTTAGTTACAAGTTAAACCAGCTGGCTAACCAGTCCACTAAAGAGGAGGATAAGAGGAGTTCGCAGCAGAGAGAGCTTACACCCCAGGTTCAGCCATGCTGTTTTTTGACTAATTGTCCAAGTGTACAGCTTTCATTATGTCAACACCAACAGAACACATTTTGTTGAAGTGCATCATTTTAACTGTATGCAAGCCATTTGAGACCGGGATGCAGCCAAAACACGACGTCTCTGCAAACGACACAAACCGTATTTGGTTGACTCTGCCTCGGTCTTCTCGTTTACCCCATTCGACTTCCCCGCGCCGGTATTTTATGACTGCTGCGGTAATCACACCGAGGAGCGAATGATTGGAGTCTCTGAGAGCAAATCAGCCCAAAGATGCTCATAAAAGTGTGGAGGACTTCTGCCTGCAGAGGCTTATCTCATCTCATACATTAGAGCGGGGAAAAACAAATTACCGAGGCAGCGTCAAAGTGATTCATTCGTTCCGCGACGCTGCATCTCGCAGGATAAGAGGGGAATATGTTACCCAGGCGAGTTATTAACCTATCAGAGGGATCATCCTTACACGGGGACAGGCTTACGTGAATCTTGTAGCAAATGTGAATGCAGAGCTGGCCCAAGGTATAGGCAAATCAGGCAGTGGCTCAGGGTCCCAAACACTGGGACACACATAAGAAATGAGTTCTGACAGTTTTGGAATGGCTCATTTGAAATATTTTCCAAATTTCTCTTATTTTAATGTCAGATTTCTTTCAAATGCAACAATACATTTCATAAGTGTGCAAAGTAAATTGCTATTTTGATAGCAAAAAAAAAAAAAAAAAAAAAAACTAGTTTGGACAGTTGTGGGCAATTATAACTTCATCATTGCCAGTTTCCTGTGGACGTGCGTCACATTTAAGCCCAACAAATTAAACTCGCACCCTTCTTCCCAACTCAACCAAACTTTTATTAAAGTGCCGGTGAAGTCAAACTACGATTAATATTCCATAAACAATGTTTGAATGGCATAAAGTAGTAATTGTATAACATTTTGTTGGTTCCAGATCTTACAAATAAATCCTTTATTTCCCTCCACTCCCCAACAGGAGAAACAGCTGGAAAACCTGGCAGCGATGGACATGGAGCTGCAGAAAATCGCAGCCAAGTTGCATGACAAGACCGCATAATCCCCGAGTATTTTACTACAGCCTGTGAACCATGCCAAGTTACTGTGCATCTGCCTATTTAATGTGCTTTGTGTTAAAAAAAAAAAGAAACAAACAAAAAAAAAATCGCAAGACAGCTCACATCCTACCTGCTTTACTCGATGTATTTGTGATGTTACGTCAAAATTAAAACAGCATGGGAACGGCTTGGATGTTTATATACGCTTTGTGACGATATGAAAATGTCAACGGAGACCAATTATTGAAATGTATTCGACGGCTCTTGTTCTGTTTGCACTCAATAAAAAGAAAACAAAAAAACAAAACGATTTATCCTGGGACCAAAGTAAAGTCGAATTTATTTCCAGAATTAATGCGGTTCACAGTCCACCGTTTATTTTCCAGGCATTTTTATTGTGTGTAAATCCAGAAGTAGATAAAATAAACCTACATTAGTAACTTTAATTATATAGCGAGTTACTAAATAACAACAGCTGTCAAGGGATATAACACAAACTTGTCACTTAAAAGAAATGAATTCAGCCATCTCTTACATAAAGGAGCACATGGAGCTGAGATGACCTGGTTTTTTTTTTAGGGTTACACTTTACCTCTCAGCTGATCTGAGGACAAAGACAGGGGAAGGTGTTCTGATGAATACAAACCAGACACCCAGTCTCCTTTTCTGCAGAAGTGTCGCTTCAGTTCGACAGAGTCTGAAGCAAAATCCCTGTAGGTGACACCACCGTGCCTTGGAGAAGATCCAATCCTTCTGTGTGTGTTTACCCCTCGGAGTCCTTCACTTTTTGTCTCTTTGGAGCTGGCTCTTCAGCTGGCGGTTCGGAGTGGTCCGTGGCCACGGTCATCCCTGAGAGGAGGTAGCCCCCGCCACCGCTCATCAGGAGCAGAGGATGTGTCCTGTCAGGCAACACCTGGAGACAAAACGAGAGACGAGTCGGGAGGAATTAACCCTGGTAGAAATGAGTCCGCCTGTTGTCTGCTTTGCACCTCAAACTGGCGCAAAGAAAAGTTTCTTACGCTTGGAATGGAGCGCTTACACAAGTGTAAAAAGATTAACGAGGTGGCAGAAAACGAGAAGTAATGATTAAGCTTGATGTTTCATCAGTCAGTTTGCTAATTCTACCACTAAATGCAGAAAATATTAGGACACTTCATGATATACTTACAAATATGACTAACTGCTCTGCAAACCAATGATGCTAATGTTGGTTTAAACATCAGAAGTGCAAAATTATACAATTGGAGACCATTAACAAAAAAAAAAATACTTTTCCTACATATTTTTGATGCAGATTTCTACAATTTAGATGTACTCACATTTCTCAGTACATTTTGAAATGGAAATAAAGGTTCACCATGGCTTACAGTGGATACATGGATTATTAGATAGACAAATCTACACAGGATGGATAGATGTTCGTTTTTCTAATAAGTTCACAAACTCTCTTCGATAAGTATTCAGATGAGGAAACCACCTAAAATAAATTCTATGTTTTTTCCTGCCCATGTAGGAACCCTGACAAGTAAAACACTGGATTTTACACCAAACAATACAGTAGTTACTCACGGTGGCAGCATTTACCTGGTAATGCCTGAGCCAGGTGTCGGTGAGCATGAGGTTGACAGTCCCACCTTGTTCCTTTAGTTTCGTGTAGCACTCAATAAGTGTCTGAAGACGTCGAGTCAGAAACGGAGAAAAACGAAGGATTTAAATAAGAAAATGCATTAATTGATACGTTCACAGGAAGACAACTGATATTGAGCCTGACTTCTGTAAAAACAGACCGGAGTATCGTTTCCATCTGCAGCTCTTACTAGAAATTGTTCCCTTTTAGTAAATTGTCCTCAAAAGACATAATTAGTCACATCTTGAACTTTAGAAATAGAAACCTCAATGTATTTTAATGTGACAGAGCAACATAAAATAGTGTGCGATTTTAACATAGAAAAAATAAATAAGTAAAACTTTTGTGAATAAACCTCTTAAAAGTGTAACTTCAAGTTTTTTGGGGGGTATATCTCCACTAGCTTTGCACATCTGAAGATGAAAAAATGATCTCCATCCTCCTCTGCATCCCTACAGCATGACACTGCCACCACCATGTTCCACACAGAGGTTGGTGTGTTCAAGATGATGTGCAGGGTTCTTTTTTTTTTTTTTTTTTTTTTTTTACAATTGCAAAGGGGCTTTTCGGGACTTTCGTTCAAAAAGTCGAACTTCCATAAAATCCGGTTCTAGTCCAACGGATACGAATATCTTTGTGACATAAACATTTATTCTTAAGAAGTAGAAACTGAGACATGAATTCTCTTACCTCTTTGAACTGGGAGAAGACTACGAAAGGCCGAGAAGGGGAGAGGAATTTAATCAAGCCCAAGAGAACAGAACAAGGGTGAAACTGACTCGCTATCACCAACCTGCAAGCAAGGAGAAAAAAAAAGAAAAAACCCCAGATGATCAAGCATACTTGTCTAACAAAAGAAAGCGATGTCAACAGCACATTCTGTAATTGGAAATGTGCAACAAAGCAAGATGGTAATTCAGCTCATCAGTGCTTCAAGCAACAAAAACCCCACAAACTGTCTTACAGCTGCACGAGAAGCCGCCGAAAAGGCTGATTTAGGACAGAGAGGAAAACTGTCTGTGCTCCGTTTATTGTTTATAGCTTCCAGTAAAGCCGGTGTGTTATAAAAAAAAGGTCTATGAGCGAACAAGGTCAATACTTGTACTTCTGGCAGAGATGTCAGCTTCTTATAGCTCAGCCATCAATCATAAAAAAGCTATAAGGTCTTTTATTTAACGTGGGAGTAAACTACAAAGCAATCAATTTGTTCACCTTGGAAGAGCCCTGCACGGTAATCACTTTGAGCCCAGAGAAAGGCAAATTATTTTTTTACGACTATTATGGACGTAGTTAATGATTTAATCATTCATAATTTTTCCCTCTGTGAATGTGTCGTAATGGCTTCTGCTTGGTACACGGAGCCAGGCCAGGGGGAGGAGGAGGCGGCTGCTGCTGCTGACAGGAGCAGAGTGCTGCAGAGACACGAATCTGAACGCAGAGGCGAAGAATCGGAGACCAACCCGTCAGCGTTCCTTCCTTCCAGCAGGGCAGCTGCGGCCGCCAGCTTCCGGCGCTTCTCCTCCAGCTTCACCTTTCTTTCCTGGGCCTAAAAGTGGAAATGCATTCCGGTTACAAAAACGCTAAATCACTTTAATTCGATAGATAATTAGCGGAATACGGCGCGGCGTTAAAATACTTTTGCTTCTTGGCGTTTCTCCCGCTCCAGCTTCTCCCGGTTTTGGCCGGCGTCGCCGCCGGTGTTTGTCTCCATCCTCTCGTCGGCTGGACTGCCTTCCTGCCGTTCTGCCTCAGGCTGGATTTGCTCCTGCTCTGCAGGCGCATTCAAGTGCTTTTCTTCTGCAATGTTGGAAGAGATAAAGCACAGCGACCACATACATAAATGGAGACAATTTAGGGCAACATAGTGAGGATTCTGAACTGGGAAGTCAAGCTACGCAGTTCTGAGAACAGAGCAATGAAAATAACTCACTTTTACCTACTAAAGGTTATCAAGCCTAAACACATTAGATAGGGAGTTTTTTTTAAAACACAGTAGCTGAGCATCTGCAGTATATTTTGACTGTAGCAGGTCCTATAGGTTTTATTGCATGTCTGTGCAAAAATGGTAAGCAAACAGAAGGTAATTCAATCAGTTTGTGTTCCATTTTATGATTATGCACCATTTCGTATTTGTACAGAAATATCCAATAAAATACATTGAAAATACATTAATAACATTAAAAGCAGAATAAAAAAGTATTAATATAAATAAATTATTTATACTTCTTTTAGCTATGCCCCCCTTGTGAAAGTTTTCTGGAGGAGCCACTGTGAAGTTTGTGGCTGTGATGTGACAAAGTGAGAAAAACTGGAAAGGTTATGAACACTTTATGTAGAGCTGCTCAAGTAAAAAAAAGAAAAAAAAAGAAAAAAAAAGAAAGAAATATAAATCCTGGATGTCATTGGCAGTTCAGCTCTAATTTGTAGTAAATCTGTCAAAAATTATAAAAGAATGTCCAACCAGCAGTGGGGTCTTTGGCACCGGTATCCAGTGTGCCTGCCAGCAGAGCGTTGACGTGGCAGATGGGAAACTCATGCAGCATATCGTGAAAGTGTGCGGGGAAGCCAAAACACTCCACCCCCGCCCGGACCGGCCCACCTCCAGGGTACATCTGAATCACCGAGCCGTAGCCTGGACGGGGAGGGAAGGGAAAGTAATTACATAAAGGGCAAAAGAAAGGCTTCGGTCAAAGTCCGCAAAGACGGCCGAAACGTTTAAAACATGGACGGTGCACGCAGCTTGTCAAAGAAAACCTGCCTCCCATTCTCTCCATGACGGCTCCCAGCACAAGTCCAGCACAGGTCTCGAACACTAGCACTTTACTGCCAGCGTGGATGTTTCCCAGAGTCAGCATCTGGGCCAGTGTGTCGTACCGCAGATGGCTGCGTCACACGGAAACGCACATCATCGTTGCAATCAAACCGACATTTAATCCTCTCAAAAATCTGCCGATTTTCGACGTGCAGTCTCACCAGATCTTCCCCGGTTCGCGGCCGTGGTACATCATGGCTATGATGCGGCAGGTTGGTTTCAGAACCGTTACCGTGTTTTCATACCTGGGAGGGAGGGAGGGAGTGAGACAAGACCAGGAACATGAACACATCACACCGATTGAGGCCTGCAACCGTTTTCAGTGTTTGTGACTCACTTTTTCTTCTTCTTCTTAATATACTTATCCTGGGCATATTCAGTCTTGTTATTGAACGTCGAGCTGTTATCTATGAGCTGCTGAATGATTTCCTGAGGTACACAAAAAAAAAAAAAATGCATTAACTCTCATCATTTCAGTTCATTATTAACTAAATATACGCTGAGAAATCAGTTGTGATCAATATCGGACGATTTTATGGGTGACCAATTCTAATTGGGGATTGATTACCTGGAAAGGGAAAGTCTGACCTTTTTCAGATTAGTAAATGTGCCAGACCTCGACAGAAATGGGTTAGATTGACAACAATACCCCTGAGAGCTGAAGTTGATACTGAAGGACCAAGACTTAAAAATTAGAGCTGAACGATATGGCTGAAAAACATAAGACGTAAGCGTTTCATTTCTGTTGA